GTTCCAGAGCCTCGGGACCACCACCTGAAAAGCTTTGATTTCAACAATCTTACCAAGTAAAATTTTCTTACTCCATTGGCAGAAATTTTTGATTTAATTTGAGTTAAATTTTCAGTTTGACACGACAAATTACATCTGACACATTCTGAAAACAAGATTATTATTCTTACACAATCAGTTCTTGTTTAGTAAATCAGTCTCAAAACAAGATCAAAAAGACTTTTTGGCTGGATATAAGATTTTAAAACTTTGTTAGATGGACAGTTTTTTCAGTGTACATAGGAATGCTTGTGTAAGCAAACAGTAAAATCACTGCGATTGCAACCATTTTAGCATGCTCATTATGTGCTGCTACATTATAAGGAGCCCGGTTTGTCTAACGTCAGAGGCTATTTCAGATTCTGAAAAGTCGGAACTAGTTCTGCCAAAGGGAAAGCAATAAAACAACTTATTCACTTCTGATAACGATTACATTCCAAATTCATTCAAGACAATTGTAATAATACCATGCGTGTTTTGTCTCGCATTCATTTAAAATGATCCATAACTAAACATACCCTTGGTCCAAAAGCTCCTAAGATTCCTGGAAAACCTGGTACCCCTGTATCACCCTAAAAACAAACATTTTATTTCAGTGAAAAGAAAAAGTGGAATTTCAAAAATTACATTTAGATATTTATCAGAATTAAAAAAAGAAAAATCATCTAACCCAACTGTCTCACAGATGCTATACAGTCTCACTGTACAGTATGTGTTATGAATGTGTTGCTAGTATATTTTGCTAACACTCACTGGTTGTCCTTTGGGTCCTTGGTCTCCTTGTGGCCCTGGTGGTCCCATTCCACCTTTGAAACCTCTTTTTCCCGGAGATCCACTTTGGCCTTTGAGGCCTTGCTCACCCTGGATGGATGAATACAAAAATAAATGTTTTGTTGTTGACATAAGTATGGTCATTAAGACCATGATGTTCATGCATCATTTCTGAATTTCCTCAGAAGGTTCAAATTATGCCTTCTAAATATTCATAAGGACATTCAAATATCCAGTCTTTGTTTTTCTTCGTTATTTAACATTTATGCGTAACTCTCCATGGTCCTCTTACCTTTGGTCCAAAGCCCCCCTGGTCTCCTGGGAGTCCAGGAACGCCAGTTTTACCAGGTGCACCAGGTTTACCAGGAAGGCCTGGCTCTCCATCGTCACCATGATCTCCCTAAGTACAAAAGAACAAAATAACTGAAGACCTAAAGCAGCAAAATAAATCTATCCAACAGACCATTAATGACTTTGAACCAGAACATTTAAAATTGCAAGAAGATTGGATCTTTCCAATTTAGGCATTTGTGTGTGAATGTTCCTATCACGCTCTCAATGTTTAAATAATATTTTTTGGCAAAAACATCCATCCATCAATCCATTTTCTTTACTTGCTTGGTGCCTTATCACCAGCAGTCACTGGGAGGTAAACCCTACACAGTTTACACAGTTTATAAGTCCATCACCAATTAACCTAACATGCATGTTTTGGGACTGAGGAAACTAGAGTAATACAGTATATACCATCTTAACTCCGCATGAAAAGGTCGCAGGCCGGGAGTTGACCCTGCAACCTTCTTTCTGAGAGGCAACAGCTCTTAACAACTGTGCCACTGTCCCTACCTTAGAAAAAACACATTGCAGCTAGCTAATGTGACATAAACCTTCTATTTTTTATGCTTTAATCATGTTAAATCATGTGGAGTGCAACAACCTTCCTGTGAGAAAAAAGTTTTTTTTGTTACAGTACTGGTTTTAGTAAAAAAATAAATAAAATCAAATGGTTTAAAAAAACTTTCAATGATATGATTACAAAACTCATAAATGTATGAACAAGTACCTCTGTAAATCAGATTAATGAAAAAAATCTCACCGGCATTCCTTTACTGCCATCTTTTCCCAGGACTCCATCCAACCCAGGGACCCCCTCCCGTCCCTCTGGGCCCACCACACCTCTGGGACCAGGGGGACCACCTCCACCCTGGAAAGAACAATGAGTTTATCACCAGATTGTAAGTAACAAGCAAACGCTACAAACCTCTCCTGCAATAATCTTTTCCCTCTGATTTTATTTTAGCTGTCTATATTGAACAAATTTAACATATTTATTGGTAACATTTTACAATAAGGTACACAAAAAATTGCTTAACTACTGAGGAACTACTCAGTAACTACTACTACTCAGTAGTTACTGTTTTTTCATAGTATTAGTACTACTACTACTACTACTACTACTACTACTACTACTACTACTACTACTACTACTAAGATTTACTAATTACTAAGTCATTTCTCAGTAGTTTACAAGTAGTTCCTCTTTGGTGTCCTTACTTGAGCAATTTTTGTGTACCTTATTGTAAAGTGTTACCGGGATTGCAGATCAAAAATTCAGCTTTGACCCACAGAAAATCAGTAGCGTACCTCTGGTCCTCTGGCTCCTTTTTGTCCCGACTGACCTTTTTTACCTTTCTGACCCTATAAAAATAGAAAGAACAAATTAAATGTGCAATAAATACATATATGTTAAAGGAAATATTGCTTTTCTGTTTTGGTATTTTTTTTACTTGTACGCCATTTTGCCAAAACTAGAAAATTACACCCCAGTAGCGTTTTAACATTACAGTCCTTTGGTCCAGTGAGGTCCAGTGTTTATGAATTTGCAACATCAATTGTTTTTTCTCACTTCGCCAGGGACTTGTTGCTGTCGGTGCAACTTCTTGTTCAATGAAAACCAGTGGAATAACATTTCCAAACAATCACTTTGTGTCACATTTCATGCTCGCTGTCATGCCTGCCTGCCCTCTCTCAGCCTCTGCTCACTGCCACTCTGCCATACCCACCTGACTCATGAGTTTCACCTGTTGTCTACACCTACAGTATATATGCTTCCTTCTCACACCAAGTCTCTGCCAGATTATCAAACACTTTTAATTAGTAGATGTCCAGCGTTTCTTCCAAGTCCTTGCCTGATCCTGTTAATGACCTCACGCCTCCTGGTTTCTCCACTCTGTCCACTCTTTCCCTGGTTTGTTCAGCTTTTCTGTTTCCTGGATTATGACCCTGTTTCTGACCACCGGACCTTGAGTTAAGGATCTCCCTTAGGATTTTTTTTCAACCTCTGCCTCCTCGTGTATGAACCCCGCTCCTCCACTTGAACCACAATTAAATCTTGTCTCTCAGTTGGACCAACTGCATTAAAGGCATTGTAAAAAGCTCAAACATGGTTAAAAAAACAAACCCATTCAGATTTATACACCTTCTACAACATTGGGTTATTTAACATAACCCCTAATTCTTTGACTGAGTGATGTCTGTCCATCACCAACTACATAAACTCCAATGACCTCACATCTGTCTGAGACAGATTGGTTGTGCTTGAAGCTCCTCCCACATCCTACTACCATGCTCAGCCGATCGTTCTCTATTCACTCTAGGATGGTTTCTTTCCATGCCCATGCAAGAAGGGAAGTGTTACTGAAACACCTCAGACTGTTATCAAGGAATCTGAGTTTACGTTAAGTCAAAGGTCCCCAACCCCAATCCTCCGAGGCCCACTGTCCTGCATGCTTTAGATGTTTCCCTGCTCCAACACACCTTACACAGCTTACTTACTTGGTCCCCTTTGGTCCCTTTGAGTCCCTGCTGCCCTCGGGGTCCAGGGTGTCCCTGAAAATCCCAGTTGTTTAAATTAAAATCTTAAAAGAAAACCTGTTCTATATAAACAGAGTGACAGAACTATGTGTGAAAATCTAACGTTTTGACACTAACCGGTTGTCCTGGAGCTCCAGGTCTGCCTCGTTCTCCATCCACACCAATTTGGCCCTTAAATGTAACAACATAATGTTAACGTGGTGAACCAAAACATTTAGTTAAGTGGTTATAAAATAATTTGGAGTACCTACTTTGTACCCTGGGTCTCCTGATTCACCTCTCTCTCCTCTGTCACCAGGAGGTCCCTGATCATACAAGGAACACATGAACAAACTGTAAATCTTTAGATTTACTTTAGAGAAAATAGCAAAAGGAGAACATTTAGAAGGTCAAAGTTGACTTACCATCAGACCTTGAGGACCAGGAGGACCTTCTTTCTTTCCATCATCCCCCTGCTCACCCTATAGACCGTAAGCAATACCGAAAGAATATTGATCTTTCACGCGGGAAAAAAAGCTAATATTTTTGTGTTTGTAAATTCTAACTTGTAGCAGGTAATGCGGAAGAATAAAAAAGTCAATTCGTAAGTGAATGATGTGTACCTTTTCACCTTTTGGTCCAGGTGACCCTATAGGCCCTTGTTGTCCCTGATGGCCCTGTGAAGATAATAACCCAGAAATCCTGTTATATAAAATGAAAATATTAAACAGCAACAGCATGTTCTTTTTATCGTGTCCACTCACATTTGCAGACTTCAAACGAGTGATCTTACCTCATAACCTGGAAGACCCGTCTCCCCCTGCTGACCCATTTGACCCGGAGCTCCCTAAAGGCAAGAAATATTTTATAGTTATTTATAAATTCATTACATAATATCACACCAATTGCTTTTAATTCATTATTGTTTAGTACTGATGTCATTACTGTTTCACTTTACCGCATGTCCAATTGTTCCTCTGGACCCCTTTGGCCCAACAAGTCCTGGTGGGCCAATCTTTCCCGCCGTTCCAGTCTCTCCAGGGTGACCCAGATGGCCTTTAGCTCCCTAGGCATTCATGAAGCAGAGGTTACAAGAAAGATGATGACGTTACATTTTTATTAATATTTTTTATTAAGAAGAGTTAATACTGTATGTTTTCAGAGATCATCTTACCTTTGATCCCGGTTTGCCTCGTTCTCCAATTTTACCTAGCTTCCCCTCTGGGCCCTAAACAAAGAATAAATGGAACACAAATAGATTTACTACATTGCAGTTATGGAGCTACTAAAACTTAAAAAAAGTGAATGAATTTCTGCCAAAAGACTACTTACCCTAAAACCAATGAGTCCAGGACTACCATTTGGACCTTCCTTTCCCTTTAGTCCAGTTTCACCTTTTTCACCTTGGTCGCCCTCCTGACCCATGTCTCCTTTTTCACCCTGATGATAAAATCATGACAAAAATTCAGTTTAATTCTGTATACCTAAAATATAGATTTATTTTTGATTTCTGTCCTTTACAGCCTAACAATACAGCCTCAAACTGTTCACCTTTGCTCCATCAGGACCAGCTGGACCAGCTTCTCCCTCTGGGCCTGGTTCTCCCTGCACATATATAACCCCATGAAATACATTTCTGAGGAAAGGAAGATTTTTTTCAAAGCTTAATTCACATAAACGTACCCTCTGTCCTATCAGTCCTTGTTCTCCGATGTTCCCAGCAGATCCAATGGCCCCCTGTCACACAAGAAAACCTTGAGGGTAAATCCTGGAGCTCCAAATGTTCATATATGCAAAACGTCACCAGGTTTATTGTCTCACCTTCTGCCCTGGTTCACCTGGCAGCCCTGGTTCACCAACTTTTCCTGGAGGACCCTAACATAAGACAAACAAAACAAATGATAAAAACCTTATTAAAATGATAAATGACTTATAACCCTTAGTCATGTTAAAAAAACCTAAATGCACTGTAAATATTTTCAGTAGGAAAGATTACCGATATAAAAATGTTATAGCTCCACTGGCAGAGAGGCTGTACAACACGTGTCCCATATTTTAGTATTTTGTCATCCCAAAACTGTTTTTATCAATGCAGATAAACACATGTGAAGTGCGCAGGTCTGCAACTGTTTAACTGGAACTATAAGCGAGTGTTCTCAATTTGCCCACCTTTTGACCAATTTCTCCTAACAGTCCCACAGTCCCGGGTGGTCCAGGTGGTCCCTGTTAATGACAACAATCAATCAACTGAAACACTTTAATATGTGCAAAATGCAGGAAATATATAGCTAATAATATCTACGATAGAGATAAATCAGAAAGTCATCTGCATATTTGGCTCTGAAAGCAGTTACTTCTGCATCTGAATGACTGATGTTTTGCTATCAACACTTATTGATCACAATAGGGTAGCTGCCCAGTTGACTTACATCACTTTTAAACAATAATAAACTGATTCTAACTCAAGAGTTCTTATTCAGTCTCCTGGTTAAAAGCTCAAAGTGACTTGAAAAAAAAAATAGGGCGTAAAAAGGTTTGAGCTACAGAGCCCAGGCAGGAAGAGCAATAACAGGAAAGAAAAGAATCTTAATGGAAATAAAAAGGTGCTGGGTGTCATATTGCAGAAATAATTTAGCAAAAGCAATGTATCATTCATTCAACAAAGATTCAAAATAGATAAATATAAGATATAACCAGAAAGATTGAAATATTTGTATAAACTAAGAAAAACTAAAAAGAAATGTGTGAAATGCTAGAAATACCGGCTCGCCAGCTATTCCCTTGTCCCCTGGAGGTCCAGAAGGTCCTTGAATTCCCTGAAGACAGAGAACAAAAAAGTCATATTCAAATCAGTGGTAAATACAGAACTATCAGTAATCTACTTTTCATTCTGTTCTTGCAAAGTTTTAGGTTTTTCATCACCGTGCTACCATTGAAAACTAAAAACATCTAAAACAGACCACAGTGTGTTGTTTACATATAACCTTCATTTTATCCTGCTGTTACATATTAAAAATGTGGAATGATCGAAATTACCATAATGAAAGTTAGGCAAATTTACAAAGTAAAGTGCTTAAGGTTCTTTGTGCATTATTTATAAATATGAGTATAAGTAAACTCACAGAAAAACCTTTAGATCCAGTTTCCCCTGGCTCTCCAAGCTTTCCCTGAAGTGTCATGACAAAAGGAAGCACAACATAGAAATAGTCAACTTGGTAAATCAGAAAAATAACATTTCAAGCTTGTTTTAAGAAAACACATGCAATTTATCATGAGTTACAATGCATTTGTAGACAACATATACACAAAAAGTTGCAGATGCTTAACAGTGTGGTTTTATATTTTTTTCGTTGTGTGGATTTTCTTTCTTATTTTTGTTTGTTTGGTGTTTTTATGTAATTCACACATTCATCTCTGTCAACTTTGTCTAGGTTAGTATAGTGAATTTGGCGTGGAAGAAATCAAAAAGTTTTTTTTCCCCTTTAGAGAATTTGATTCTGGCACCAAACGTCCAGTCATATTTTTTTTTCTCAGTTTTACCCCTTCAGAGTAACACAAGTGCCAAAATGTTCATAGGTTAGGAATAAAATGCAGAGCAGAGAGGTGGTCAGAGATTTTACCTGTGATCCTGGGAATCCTATCTTTCCTGGAGGACCATCAAGACCCTGTGGTGATTGAAAAGTAAAATCAGTGCTCTGATATGTTGGTTTACTTACTTTTCTTTGCATTCCTCAAATTGATCACATGCACCCCCCCTCCCCCTCCACTATTTGCCCTTTTAAGTACATCCCAAAAATAAAGTACCTTTATTATTATCTATTTTAAGACTATTTATCTGCACAGTTTGACTTTGCCAACATCCTTACCTTCTTGCCCTCTGATCCCACCTCTCCTATTGGACCATCAGGGCCTCTTGCTCCCTGGGAAAAAACAAACAAACAAACAAAAAAAAAACATGACAGCTGTCACCTCACCAACAGAGGTCACTGTAACACTGCCAGACGGCCGTAGCATGCCCTGAATAAACATCAGTTTAGCTTGACGCCAACAGCACCCACATAGGGAAGACTGTGTGAGGGGTGCAATGTCTGGAAGCTGGAGAGATAAATGTGAAAGTTTGTCATCTGAAGCTCAGTGTACAGAACAGCTCTTGGTGACACACGATCTGCATCATTTAACACTGGGGTCTGGGTGAAAAAGCCAAGGCACACACAAACGCATGAAATTCACACTTGGACACAGTCACGCACTACCAAAATAATCTGACAGTTTAGATTAGGCTGGTCCAAACTGTCAAACAGAATTCACAGAAACTGCTTGAAGTCCTGCTGGTCCAGCAAGTAGTAAAAATAAATGGGAGCCAGGCTGCAAACTAATTCAACCCATCTGCTTTGCACCTGCACTCAGACAAGTTTCACATCTCTACTCTGGAAGATGCTGGCTCGCTGACACTGAAAAGATGCTCACTGCCTGATAGTAAATATAATTTATTATTCAATCTGAGTGGTTATAAATAGAAGGTTGGTTAACTGGGATTTTCCCAGGATTTTATCACAAAGGAGGCCTTGATGTTTGGGTGATTGATGACTATATTCAGTGTGAGTTTGGCTCAGGGAGAACAACAGCAGCCAAAGTGCAACAAGCCTAGTACACACAGAGATGGACGACTGCTGCTTATTAACATTCTTGTTTTTTTACTCGCTGGTTAACTTTAGAAAAACTAATTAGCTGAAATGTAGGAAAAATATTTCATTCACTGATTCAAACACTGAAAAAAACCCTATATAGAACTCGACACCAACCATCGCTGATGTCCCTGTCGCCATCAAGTAGTGACCAAATGTTGGCAGTTTTGTTGGAATCATCACAGGCCTTTATTATTTAAATAATCTCATAAGGTGAACAGATGGAGGGCTAAAGTGACTGTGCTGGAAAATAATTATTCCTCTTTTAATACCTGATTATTAAGTTCATACTGCCTTGACATTTCTACTTGTCTCTCTTTGATAATTGCTATGATTTGTCATAATCTGTTCTTATGATTTAAAGACTCCACTTGATGTCTAGGGACCTTGTTCTCATTTTGACACAATGGTACAACTGCTATAACTTGTCATTTTGTGATTGGCTGTTTGTATGCTCCGCCCGGAAGTATATATTCCATTTCCTGTTGTTACAGTTCAGTTGCTACGTGACTGGACTCTTGATTCAGACCTGTTCACGTCACATCTCATCTTTTTTCAATTGCAAACCTTATTAAATCATCTGACGACCATCCACACAGTTCATCTTCTTTTATTCACGTGTTTCTGCCTTTTGATAAACGTTTCCACGACAATTTGGCGTCACGAACCAGGCCCCAACGACGGCTAGTCCATCCGGGCCAGAGAGGACTCGTCAGCAGGACAGGAGATTCTACGTTTTTGTTACTTCTGCCTGAGAAGTGTTTTCTTTCTGTTTTTTTTTCCACCATTTAACCCTGGGACTGAGGTCTCCTCTTCAGCTGAGGAGGGGTGAACCGGACGTTGGTGGAAAAAGTACATTTCATCACGGCAGAGATATGGTGAGCTATTGCTATTAGCTGTAACTATTGCTATGAGCTGTGCTAGTGAATGCTAAAGCTATTTCTATTCGGCCCATTGTATAATAAATTCTAATTCTTTTCTGCACACACATGTCTACCTTCTGTGGTTAGGGGAAGTTTTTATGAATGGTTTGATTAAGCTAAACTGAATTATTGCGAGTAGGTTCAGTTTTCAGGGAGATAGTTTAGTGGCTGGCTTCTTGTGACACATGGTTCAAAAGTGCGTGAGCGTAACCTATTTAGTTCTGTCTTGATAAGTGAGCGCACGCTCCACTAGCTTTAGGGAGAGAAAGCAATTGTACTCCATTTGTAGACATGACAACAGCGTAGGATAAGTCAGAACATGAGTGTCTTTGAGCCGCAGAAGGTAAATGGGCTTTGCGCTATCCTATGCTAAAATTTACAGCCATAAGGTTTTTTATGTGACTGCGTGTTTAGTCTAATTATTACAGTTCCCCAGAGAGGGGATTTTTCAGCTTGAATCAAATGGCTCACTTACACCTGTCAAACTACTACACTAACGTGTTGAGCTGGTCTCCCTTATAATGCACACAAAATTTGGTTCAGGTTGGATTGTGTGTGTGATTTAGAACTGACCGTGTGCAAAGTAGGGGCGGTACTAAAGTGATCTTGTCAAACTAACACACACGTGTTTAGCTGGTTTCCCTAATGACGCACACAAAATTGTGTGCAGATCGGATCATGTATGTGTTAAATATAGCCAACCATGTGCAAAGTGGGCGGGGCTAAAGTGATCTCATCAAACTAACACATTAAGGTATTTAGCAGTTCTCTTTGATGATGCACACAACATTTGGTGCACATCTGATCATGTATGTGTGATTTAGACCCAATTGTGTGCTAAAAGGGTGGGGCTAAAGTGATCTCGTCAAACTCTTACAGCAACGTGTAGAGCAGGTCTTCCTGATGGTGAAAACAAAATTTGGTGCAGATCGGGTTGTGTATGTGTGATTTAGAGCTAACCATGTGCAAATGGCAAGGCATCAGAATTTGTCACTCTTACCGCCACCTAGTGTTGACCTAAGCATGCAGCATGTGAAGTCTGCATGTTCAAAGCTGTAGGGGGAGTTATCTCAGATACATGTGCAAGAAAAGAGACAAACTGGCAGCTTTGATCCAATATGGCTGACTTCCTGTGGGGTTTGGACCATGACTCCAAGAGACTTTTTTGTAAGTTCCGAGACATTACACATGTTTACCAAGTTGCATTATTCCAGGTCCAAGCATGGCTTGGGGCTGATTTTTTAAAAATAATTGTAGGTGGCGCTGTGGAGGAATTAGGCCACGCCCCTCAAAATTTGACCGCATTCCTGTAGTAGGGTTGATTAGGATCGACCATAGCGAATTGGGTGCAGATTGGCTGAAACATATGCACCGCCATGACCATGCCTTTCACCAAAAAGTCTTTGTGCTTGAAAGCAAATGAGATCAACTATCTGTGTTCTGACACAGTTTGTTGCTGATTAGGTCAAGAGACTCAAAGATGGAGCTTAATAAATAAAAAAAAAACAGGTCACTTCCTTTTGTCAAGGGGCTGGGTTTTGACGATGTCATATGACCACATGGTATGATGGGCATGCAACATGGATGACATACCAAGTTTGGTGTATTTTAGCCTTTCAGTTACAGCTTTCTGAAATTGTAACAAACGGACGGACGGGTGGATGGACGGAGAGCATTTCTAAGTCCCCTGCCTCGACGACAGGTACAATGACATAGACTCAACTTAAAAAAATCTGAAGTAATCTGGCACACCTTATATTAATGAAATGAATAAATTATTTAATGCAGGGGTGTCAAACTCATTTTCACCGAGGGCCACATGAGCGTTATGGTGGCCCTCGAAGGGCCACTTGTAATAAACTTTGATGTTTCATGTTTAACTTTGACTAAACAGTGTTTTAACACATCCTCTTTTAAATACTGATAAGAACTAAGTGTGTGACTGACTAAATCTGAAATAAATACAGAAATATTATTTAGTTTATGGTTGACGCTGATTTTAAACAGCTTATTTTCAGAGATTAATACTGTGCTATCCAAATAAATTGCTCAGTTACTTAAAGCCAACAGCTCAGCGACAGGAATTTATTAAATTTATTTTTATTTCATTTATTTTTATTAAACTTATGTTGTTGCATTTAATCATAAATTTAAAGTTTACCATTGATAAAAGAAACTAATTTCATGCTAAGTAAAAAAAAAATGGGGGGCGGGGTAACCCCCCGGCGGGCCACATGGGTGTCACCCGCGGGTCTTGTGTTTGACACATGCAATTCAGTGTAACCTTAACTCTAACATTTTACTTACACTTCGTCAATGCTAAAATATAAGATGTGACAAATCATGTTGTATTTTAAAAAATTGCTGAGAATGGACAGAATTATAGTAGTTTTGGTCTAAATTTGTTCATGTGTGACTCCATCCAGTATTGTGAAATCTTGTGAGGAGAATCTTTAGATTCTATGAGGAGTTATTAAAATCAAAACCTTATTAGTCGTACTGGTAAACCTTCTGACATCCACATGCTTAATAAAGTAAGTTCAAAAACTTTTTGACCACGCAAATAAAGTCCAGACAAAAAAATAAAATAAATAAAAAAACAGTGACAGCAGTTATACAGACTTTGTGTGGTCTGATGCCAACATGAAGTCTCAAGCACGCAGTCCCCAACTTTACAATAATTTTATCTTAGAAACCATTCCAATGTTGTGTCTGAGTGGAGACAGATGTTGTGTTTTTGTCTCCACGTTCAATGTAACATGTAAAAGACATGTGGCGTAAATAAGTGTTTTTTTTTAACTGTTTCTATTTTCATTTCACATGAAGAGGTTTTAATTAGACCTCAAAGCCCAGAACTTAATCCCATGGTGTTCTGTGTTCATGAAAAGGGGGTGAAATCAGAACCTTTAGACAAATGTTTATACTTTAAACTCATTAAAATTAAAAAATTAAAACTTTAGAAGCCAAGGCCTGATACTTTGAGGATTTAGCTGAGTGCTCAGGTTTGTTTAAAATCTGCCACAGTTGTTTGTTCCCTTCTGCAGGGTTCAATTAATTAATGAAGTATTTGGCAATTGTGCCCTACCTGACACAACCTGGGCTTAATTTTAAACAGATTAGGATTATAAAATGACAGCAATGACCATCGAGGTACATCAACTTCCACAAAAGCTCATACAGTGTTTTTTGTAAATAATTAGGGTCTTTTCTTCTTTTCTTTTTACTCGCAAACAATAGATCCAAGTATTTGATGACTCCGCCTTATTTCAATCATGTTTTTCCACTTAACTATATTAATCTCATCTTGGAATTTTATGGGATCTTTCCAGGCGTTACAATGAACAATGACTGCAAAAAAAAAGGAGAAAAAAAGATGAAACAGTCCCTTTATTCAGCTTTGAACCTTCATGTGTGCCATTTGAGCTGACATTTCCATTAAACCCACATGACATCATTTCAGAGGCAGCTCCACATCACTCCATTATGCTCGCCTTCTTTTGTTTTCTAACAGCACATCAACAGCAGAAATACATATTGTAGCTCTTCATGAATACACCCCCCCCCCCCCACCCACACACACACGTGCATGCTCTTTTAGTACCTCTACTAATCAACTTGTCTTTGAGTTGGGGAAAATGACAGATTGACTGCAGAACCAGCAGTTGCACTTGAGTTGCATAAACAGCTAGTGTGAACTTTCAAACTCACCTGCAGGCCCTTGGGCCCTCTGGTACCAGCTGGTCCAGTTGATCCAGCAGAGCCCTAACAAGTAATGACAAAAAGAAGAATGATGAGGGGAAAAGTAAGGGTCAGGGCAAAAAAAAAAGAAAAGGAGGAGCTAAAACTAAAGTTTACCCTAACAGACCACGGGGGCCCCTGGCTGTTGACCCTAGAGAAGAGCTGTGTGACCTTGGGAACACACTATAGGGTTTGTTGTTAGATCTGTCACTCGCACCAATTAACGGGCCTGCTCTGGAATACAGGCCTGCTGCACCCCAAAGCCCTAATATTTACATTTGTTTTGGTAGCTCAGTGGCCCCCTGCTCTGAACCAGAATACAGGTCCTGCTCCCTGCCAAGCGTGGCCACGAGGAGGGAGCTGTAGCAGCTTGTAATTGGTTGTATGTGTTAGGCTTTTGACTGACAGGAGGATTATGCATGCTCGGCAGGAGGCTGTCAGCTCTCATCATGCTCAGCAAAGCTCTGCATCGTGTTTGAACTCCCAAATTACATGATTATCTACAACTGAATCAAACTAAATAACTACTTTTTTAGAAAGAGAGAGTCACTGAATACAACTTAAAAATGAGTTTGCGATGTCACCACCGACTACAGCATAATGCATAACCAAAGGAATGTGATGCATGCAGTGTTTCCCCTACAGTATTGGTCAAGAAGCATTGCTGCAACAAAGAAATAATCTATCAAACACAAATTTCAATGCTTTTGATGCTAAGTATACACATGAAGGTAATAAATACAGATTGGTGTTTTTTAGAGAGGATAATATTCATAAAATTTTAACAAAGATCTATGATGGTTTTAAGTATGATTTGATTCCCTTGGGACAATTCAAATTTCTTCTGAGACAAAAAGAGAAATCTTATGAAATGTGTTCTTGTTTTTACCTTGTTTTATTAGCTTATTTATTTGTATCTGAATTTTTTTTATTTTGTTTTATTTTATTATTTTTTTGTGTAACTACTTGTGTGTTTTGTAATTTTTGTCTTATAACAGGTCTCTCTTGGAAATGGGATTCTGAATCTCAATGAGACTACCTGTATAAATAAAGGTCAAATAAAAAGTAAATGTAAAGTTTTGCACACAGATACACAAAAACATTTCAGGTTTATATACAATATTTACAAAACTTAATAAAAAAATCTAAATAATTTAAACACACATAGCACTAATCTCTTTAAAGGGCTCGACACACGGGCAGCGACAAACTACAGCGATTAGCGGCAATCATCGCAGCCAGGGTGAAACCCGACACACGGGACGCAATAGCGACGGCAACGTTGCGAATCACGCTCTCAGATTGCTTGTCTTCACAAAATTTGATTGGTTCTTGACTCTGAAGGCAGGTGTGCATTATGGACGTGTAAACTAAACAAATCTTGCAATGCTAATGATATTGAAAAACAAACGCACATCAAGATACAGTTTTGAGGAAAAACTTACCATAAACTTCACCCTGGTGCCAATAAATTCCCACAAAGCTTTTTAGTAATCACTTGGTGAACGTGTTAGCTAACTGCAATGTGTAGCATACTCTCCTCTCATTGGTCAGTCAATGAAACCCTCGCTGATTGGTTGTATGCCAAGCGACAACGACAAAAGTTGAACATTTTTCAACTTTCATATGTCGCGTCACAAGCTCGCGTGTGCACGTCTACGTGTACGAGCGTGAAATTTCACATGCACTATTTTCGCCGGTCGCTTAGCTGGAGGAGGGCAAGCGATTGTCACCTCACCGCACAGGCTCCATAGGAAATGAATGGAGAGCGAGCGACGTCGCCTCCCGTGTGTCGAGCCCTTAAGTTGTGTAATCTGTTTTTATTCATAACTCTTTAGCCATGTATTTGGACAAGCACATCATTTAGCACCCCCATCAGGGGGTGCTACAGCGCCCTAAGATCCCCTACTTCCCACAGCCTTGGGATAATTTTTTTTGTAACTGACCAAGAAAAACAAAACAAAGGAAAAAGTGCAAAATGTAAAAAAATTAATTTCTTCATTCATAAATACATAAAACAAAGACTTACTGGTCTTCCTGGTGGTCCAGCAGGCCCAGTTTCCCCTGGTGTCCCTGGGTGACCCTATTGTGGGTACACAGACAAACACAGAATAGACACATAAATTACATTTGACACAAAACCGGATTACACAAATTATTAACTTCAATAAAACCACTGATCTGGGAATAACTGTGTCATTAAGGAGCATATTTTGGTTTATTCACACAACACAGAACACTGATTCTGCTGCTCCAAGACTAAATGGAGAGAAAGTTTTTCCCAGATTAAAGTTTCCAAAAAAAGGAGTCAATTAAAGAGGTGTTGACACAAAGACACAAAGTCACTTTAAATTCAATAAATTGCACGGGGTTTGCACCCACATGCACTGGTAGAATAAGAACACATCTGCAGAAATGTGAACCGGAAAGCTCATGGAAGAAAAAAAAAACAATGACAGAAAAAAGGAAAGAGGAAATTTAAAAAGCTAATTTTCTTCAATAAAACATTTCACATTTGGCTGCGTTTCTTTCTCTCCTGTTTTTTTTTTCTGGACTTAATTTTCTGGCCAGACAATTTGTAAAAACATAACTATCTAATGGGAAATACTTTGGTCAGACTATCCAGAACATCTGAGAACAATAAAATCCATTCAGTGTATAAGCCTATGTAGCACAGTAGGCAGCTCTGATGTCATGTGCCCGCAGAAATAAAACATATACACTATGCCTACAGTGGGAGTGCTCTGTTAGCGCCTCCCAACGCTGTCTATGATGCCGTCTTTTCCAGAGGGTCTGTTTCTGGTTTGTAGCTGAGGAAGCGAGCCAACAGAAAACTTAGAAGTGTGAGTGGTGAAGTCCTCAGAGAAATCCCACTGGCTGTGAGCCAACATCAATGACTAAATTGTTATCCTCTCCAATCGGTCTTAAACATCAGATGGTTTGTAAAAGATAAAGGCAACACATACCAAAAAAGCCACAAGCTGTTAGAAGGAGAAGAGAAAGTGTGTGACTGATAAACAATTATAAAAGAAAGTATTTACTGTGCAGAAGGTTGGATCAAGTCTTTGTTTATTTTTATTTGTTTATTTCCATCAAAGAGCAGTTAACATTTCCTATGGTGATAAGATCCCATTATGGAAGTAAATTATTCTAAAAGGGGTCTGCGCACAGCTATTTTCTATATTTCCTGACCAAAAAAAAAAGTGTTTTTCAGGATCAGGATTTTGTTGATCCTGTTGCAGGTAAAAAAAAATCTCTTAATGTAGGTCTATTCTCACATAAAACCATACATGTCAAGTTGTACAGATTATCTGTAAAATACACGGATTTCCCATTTTCGAGTTGTCCATTTCTTTTTGGAAAATTGTCCTGTACCTTACTGTCTCAAAATGATAGGGTAGGAAAAGTCCCGTGATGGGTCAAAGTCTTGTCAGATTATTAAAAGGCTTAAAACATGGCTCAGTGGATGTTAGGACATCTTGTTTCCTTTCACTTACTTACTAGCATATACTTTCATTATAATGTGGTATTGTGGATTTTTGTTCATCATGCTTAGCTTTACACACAAACCACTTAGGCAATCTAGGAAATCACATCTGAGCCTAAAGTTTGTGCATCCTCATTGATTTGGTGTTTTTTGTTCTTCTTTCATTTATCATGATGCATTTAACTGTACTTTAATATCTCTGGTTCTGGATTTGGTAATGTCTGTGTGCTGCTGGTCTCTCATGAAAAAGAGATTTTTAATTAATGAGACCTGGTTAAATAAAGGTTTAAATTAAATGATTAAAAAATCTTTGCTGCTTTTTAAAACTCCCAAATTGTGTGTTTATTTTATTTTATTTTATTATTTTTTTGTGTCTTACCTCTGATCCTTTTACTCCAGGTGGTCCAGGAAGGCCCATCTCTCCTCTATCCCCCTAAAACCCATAAATACAAATGTTACTTTGTATTACACAGAGAAGATATGTTGAGGGGGGAAATAAGCAGAACCATTTTTTTTATTTTTACCTTCTCTCCTGCCAGTCCTGCCTCTCCCACAGGTCCGATAAAACCAACCAAACCCTGAAACATGGAAAGTCAATGTTGGATGGATGAATGGAAAAGACTCTTCTGAATAAGTCACGTGAGACAAGTACAAATATTCAAAACGGGAAGTGGTAATGTCAGCGATTCTTACTCTTTCTCCCATGAGTCCAACTTTTCCTGTGATACCGGGTTCACCCTGCAGACACAAATCCACCATTACTTGTGAGATTACCATGACAAATGTATTTGTCTTGTATTTTAGTAAAATGGAAAGAAACGATAAATCAAACTGATTTTATTCACCTTAACTCCTTCTGCGCCAACCACCCCAGGAAACCCTTTTCTTCCCATTCTACCCTGAAAAAAAAAAAAGACCAACAGCATGATGAATGGTGAATGAGAGACATTTGCTTGCCAGTGAACGCATCAGTAAAGTTCATCCCAAATACACATCGAATGGAAAGGATCTTTTTACTGAGCAATAACAATCGTACTTTTTGCAGTGTGCATGCTGCTGAAGCAAGTACAGGTAATGCTGACAAGGCTTTTAGGCACACTGCAGACATATTTAATGACTAAAAGTGTTATGTACNCCCCCCCCCCACTATACATAATGTTTTAACCAGCAGTACTTTCAGGTCAGAAATGTTTTAGCCAAACTCCTCAAGCTGGAGTGACTCAATATTTCCAAAGTTTAACCCCCGATAAGCTGGCAGCTGTAACAGAAAAGTCAAAGTTTGCATTTTATTTCACTGAAAGAGTCCAAAAAATGTCCACTCCTGTTGTAAAATGAGGATTAATAGTTTTGTTCCAGCACTTGTTACTTCCTAATTCCTGCTTTATATTAACATTTGCCTTTTATTTGGCCCAAATGAATGAAAAATTGTAATAGCATGTGCGAAAGAAAGAAAGAAAGAAAGAAAGAAAGAAAGAAAGAAAGACAGAAAGAAAGATTATATAAAAAGAAGAGAAAAGGAGAAGGTAGAGAGGTTGTCGTTACAAAGGAAGGAAAGGTGTAAGAAGACTTGTGGCACCAGGCCAGAGATCAGCTCCAGCTCCTGAGGGAGTCAACCAGACTTCCCCTCAAATCGAGGCTAAACTGGGGTCAGAGAATGAGAGAAGCCAAGTAAGTGTGTGTGTGTGTGTGTGTGTGTGGGGGGGGGGGGGGTAGAGTAAAACAAACAACAAAGGAAGGAAGGAGGGAAGTCCAAGATGAAGAAAAACAGATCATATTTGGGATAATAATTCTGTCAGATTGATAAACCTAAAGACATCTTTCAGTTGATAAAACATTTGCGAAAAAAAACTACTTCATCACCATCTTGCAGCACTTTATGACAACTGTAAATCCCACCATCTATAAACATCACAACGGTCATCGCCCCCTGGTGGTCAGGATTAGGAACTGCACGCAGTTCTTGGTTGTGATGGACTTCCAGATTCAGAGCCAAACATATCAGTCATTACATAAAGTAAAACTTCTGTATGACGTTTCACTAATTCCCCTCCCTCCTACAGATTCCAGAATAATCTTCTCTTTTACCCCCTCAAAAATAAACCCCACCGAAGCAAAAGCAATTTGTGAAACACACAATTAAAGATTAATAACAAAATGCACTGCATACAATAAAAGAAGTGGAAAATAAATGCAAGAAGCAGATATTGCTCGGTAAACGCCAGGCTTTTTTATACTATAAGTGTACTTCTGGGAATCTAACATCATGCCAAGATTCTAGTGAGCTTTTACTTCAAGGCTGTAAATTATTTTGGATGACTGCTAAGTTTGCAAACAGATCAAGCATCATGATGCAGCTGTGCTTTCCACACACTGAGTAAAACCGATAGACAAAAACACACTGCAGTACTTTTGCATGGAAAACAGCTGAAATCATAGAAAAGATCCACTTTTTTTCTAAACATACACAAACTGTTTTGTTTGAATAGTTGTATTAAAAGATCCAATAATTAAAAGAGATCCACTCTATCATCTTTATGCCCCCACAGAATCACATGTTCATTTAAAATCTTACCTCAAGTCCCGATGGTCCTGGTGGCCCAAGGGGACCCTCATCTCCCTGGCAAAAGATGAAATTAATGCAAACATGTGTTTGGGGTATAACAAGATTTTTCATTGAAAACAAGCTCTGGGGAATAAAATTTAAAAGCGTTGCTGGTTCATGATGTGTGCAGCATCTGACAGTCTTACCTCCAGGCCTGGTACCCCTCGTGGCCCCGGTAAACCTCTGGCCCCTGGTTTTCCCTTGATGGGTAAGAGGCAGTAAAATTGGTGCTAAGGCATAAATATTCTTTTACACAAACATGCTCAACTGCTGTTTCAGTGCGGCTGTAAGGAAAATAGTGACATTCTGTTGGCTGGATCAGATGGTGTGCCATATAAGTTTGGGACTGACGTTCACGGTCCCCAGAAGGTAAACCAACTCTTCTGATGCCAGTGAGTCTCTGACGTTTCCTAAGGTTTCCTACTTTTGTTTTTTTTTCTACAAAGGTAAAACTAAACACAAAAATTAACTACATAATTAATAAACACAGACATGCTGTCTTTTTATCTGTAAAATGATTAATATTGAGCATTTTACCATGCTAACAATGACATTTAGCTTGAAGCGTTGCCGTGCGCGTCAACAAAGCAGGGCTGCAGATTTTGCGTTCTTGTTTTGTGTTTTAATCCAAACGTTACCATCCAGTCAGTGAAGATGATGGTTTAACTCACCTTTGGTCCTTCAAGGCCGTTCTCTCCCGGTGGTCCCATGTCCCCAGGGAAACCCTGTCAAGAGAGATAAGAGAGCTGAGTGTCTAATGACTGACATCATGCAGCAGGCAACGTGCAAACACAAACCTCAGGCCCTGGTGGTCCAGGTGCACCATCAGGACCTTTCTCTCCTGGCTTTCCCTGTTGCAATAAGGAAGTAACAAAATGCACTGATTCAGTACTGTGCTTTAAAAGATATTTGCATATATTCTTAGCATATTGTGCCAATGATTACACTCCACTAGATATTATAAACTATCTCTTTTTTCCTCTACTACAGGGGTGTCAAACTCATTTTCACAGAGGGCCACATGAGCGTTATGGTGGCCCCRGAAGGGCCAGTTGTAATGAACTTTGATGTTTCATGTTTAACTTTGACTAAACAGTGTTTTAACACATCCTCTTTTAAACACTGATAAGAACTAAGTGTATGACTGACTAAAGCTGAAATAAATACAGAAATAGTCAGTGGTGGGCAGCGCTAATTCAAAAATTAGTTCTGCAATTTCTAAAGCGCTTATGATAATATTTATGTCCGCAATTTCTAATCCGCTGATGCAGCAGAAATATTAACACAAGCTAATTTTAGACCGCAGGTTCAATTTGACACTTTCTAGCTGGCTACATGTGCATCATATGAACAATACTGCCTACTAGTGGCGTATGAACCCTTGTACAGCTCGTTTTCCAACCACCGATTGCTGGGGATGGGATTTCCTCAAACAGACCTTTGGCTCATGGTCTAAAAATTAAAAACTTGTTGATGCTTGCAGTTCGGCTGATACTTTAAAAAGTTGTTGAGGATTGCGGCTGCTTCTTTGTCTTTTTCTTTCGTTTGTTGTAGATTTTTCACCAAAGAAGCATCAATAAGCTGAGGAGAATAAAATGTGTGAAATGTCTAAGAAACATTTTTTTAATTCTAACTGAGAAAAAAAACGTCAACTCAGAATATTAACTCAGAACAGGTCAGCTGTGATGATTCCTCTGCTCCACAAGACGCAATATTTGCTGCGTAAAGTTGTGCTTATAGAGCCGTCAGCTGTTCCCAGTCCCACACCGCGGAAGGAACTCGCAGCGCAGATGCTCCTTACATCCAGAAAACAGAACAGAGTCATATTTCTGTGGATTCAGGTCAGATTCGTGACTTTGTGGGTTAAAACTGTCGACTGAAAAACTTTGCTGGGCTGCCGCACATTCTCACGGCAGGTGAAAAGTGTGCGTACATATACGCACACTTTCACGCAACGTTGGTTTTGATACATCCCAATGTGGGCGTAGAACCTGGCGCACACAACTTTATGTGTAAGTTTATACATGAGGTCCCTGGAGACACACTTCACCCGAACCTCAGAACCTCAAATCAGAACCAACCACAGCAGGTGCGCCGCTGGAGAAGGGCGGATGCGTCATACCATGCAAAGCATTGTGGGAGGTGTCTCTTAATTTTTAGTTTAGTTTAAATTGTTTTTTCATTTCATTTAAAACCAAAAATTTTATNGACACATGTACACACACTCCTTTAGACTCCTGTACACACACTCCTTTAYATAGACACCTGTGCACACACACCTGTAGAAACATGTGCACACACTCCTTTAGACACCTGTACACACCTATAGACACTCATACACACTCCTGTAAACACCTGTACACACCTGTACACACCTATAGACACTCATACACACTCCTGTAAACACCTGTACACATCTGTACACACACTCCTTTAGACACCTGTAGACACCTGTGCACACCTGCCTGGTGGAAACGTGTCATAACCCGTGTCTCTGTGTTTCAGCGACTGCTACACGGAGAAATGTGTCATGAACAACTACTTTGGTATCGGACTGGACGCCAAGATCTCCCTGGACTTCAACAACAAGAGAGACGAGCACCCGGAGAAGTGCAGGTGCAGTAAACAACAACAAACAGTAAACAACAACAAACAGTAAACAACAACAAACAGTAAATAACAACAACAAACATAAACTATAACAAGTGAATCCCAGCAGAAACAGCTCCAGTCATGGTTTTGTGGTTTGGACCTCCTCCTCCTCCTTCTCCTCCTCTTCCTCTCCATCTCCAGGAGCCGGACCAAGAACATGATGTGGTATGGTGTGTTAGGAACCAAGGAGCTGCTGCACAGAACCTACAAGAACCTGGAGCAGAGAGTCCTGCTGGAGGTCAGAACCAGAACCAGAAGCAGAAGCTCTTCACAGTAAGACCTGAAGGCCTGTCCTCATGCTGTGCTGTGTTTACTGCAGTGTGACGGGCGGCCCATCCCCCTCCCCAGCCTGCAGGGCATCGCTGTCCTCAACATCCCCAGCTACGCCGGAGGGACCAACTTCTGGGGCGGGACCAAGGAGGACGACGTAAGAACCTGACCCTGACCCTGACCCTGACCCTGACCTTGAACCTGAACCTGAACCTGAACCTGACCTTGAACCTGAACCTGACCACGGACCAATGGGGTCTTCTGTAGCAGCTCAGAACTGTCTGATTAAAACTGTCCAGTCCACATGATGACACTTCAGAGAGGGACACATCAGAGGGACACTTCACAGGGATAATTCAGAGGAGACACTTCANAAAAACACTTTAAAATGATTTTCTTCTTATAAGTGTAAAAAATAAAATCAAAGACAAAGAAAATAAACAATAGAAAAGTTTTTTTTCACCAGGGTTACCTCTACACTGTTCAAGGTGACGAAGACTCATAGATAATTAATTATTAGCGGTACCGTGTTTTAATTTTAGAAAGCACAAATCCGCTTATGAATTACAAAAATTAGTAAGACCGCTAAAGCGCAAATGATATATGTAGGTCTGCAATTAGAAGATTTGTGCTTTAGCGGACTGGTGCCCACAACTGGAAATAGTATTTAGTTTATGGTTGATGCTGACTTTAAGCAGCTCATTTTCAGAGATTAATACTGTGCTATCCAACTAAATTGTTCAGTTACTTCAAGCCAACAGATCAGGGACATGTTTATTTTTATTTAATTGATTTTTATTAAATTTATTTTGTTGCATTTAATCATAAATTTAAAGTTTACCATTGATATAAGAAACAATTTTCATGTAAAGTAAAAAAAATAAAAATTTTTTGGCGGGCTACACGGCCTTGTGCTCTACATTTCACATGTCTCTTTAGTTCATTTTAAATGAATACTTTTAATTTAATCGTTAAAACACATATATACATGCACTTTTATTCTACACAAAACTATTGCACTTTTATTCAAACTCATTGGCTCAAAATTTCTACTGGATGATTCTTTTCTTTCCAAAACTTGAGGAAGAAAAACAGTTGCACCACTGGTGAAAATGAAAAGCTGCTAATGAAAAAATGACTTTTTGCTGGCCTTTTGCATAAAACCACTGACATGTCTATCCACTAAATGGAAGTCTTGCCCAGCAGCTGCTGAAAATAGCTGACTGGATTGTGGAATGAAAGACCACCCTCCAGTACCTCTGAGGATTACCAGTAAACACACAACTGTTCTCTATAAAATGGTGAAAGGTGTAGAAATATCACAACAACAGCTTAACAGTAACTACGTAACGGTTTTGTTCCATCAACAAAATGATTAGGAATAAATCTACAGCTACAGATGTTAGAGTTTGATCATCAGATCTAAGTCTAAGCCTGAGCATGAATGAGCATAAAATATTGATTTAACCCATTATGTTAACATTATTATTATAACAGATCTAACCTGTGGTCCTGGTTTCCCACGAATACCTGGTATCCCTGGAGCTCCCTGGATGCCCTACACAAAGCAGGCAAGACACATAAAAGTCTGAGACAAAGAGTCAGATAGCATCCAGAAGAAAAACAATTATTTTTTTCTCAAGGAAACAGACATTAGATATGCAAGACTCTGGTTCATATTCTTTGTCTCTTGGGGGCTTTTCGATCCGTGATGAACTAGATTTTACTTGCACACAAAAAACAAAATGTAAAAGATTGATATGAAAATAAATTTCCATAAGCTGGACAGCAGACATCTGGCTAAGTCATTTCGTAAAAGCAGCCACTCAACATAGTTTTGTAACACGGGATCTGTGCGACTGGAAGCTGTGCGCAGGAAAGAGGCTAACGGGGTTAGCTGTGTGCGCAGAATGTGTGAAACATTTATAAGTGCTCAACAAAGGTCATCTACCTTGTCTCCTTTGTACCCAATCTCTCCTTGCTCTCCAGGAATCCCCACATCCCCCTGATGGAGAGAGAGAGAGAGAGGGTGGGGGTCAAACACACGCAGGAAGATGGATGAGGTTTGGGCAGAAAGAAAAAAAGTAATGGAAAAACATTAGGGGGGAAATCGGGGTGGGGGGTGGGGGGGTTGTAGTGTTCTACTTTGTCCATCACACTCAGCTTTTTCAACACACAAAACAAATTAGCACCTAGTACATTATAAACACTGATGCAAAATGAATGTAGTTTGTTGAGTTAGCCAAGCTGCTCATGTGGCGACAATCTGTCCTGCAAACACATTTGATAACAATCGCTCCATTCTGTAGCACCACGTTTTAGAGAGCGAGCCGAGTTTCAGCGGTTCAGTGCAGCACTGAGTGGCCTCCTTGAAATGCAAAAATGAAGCTGAAATTTATTGTTGTTTTTCATTGTTTTAGTGCTTTTAATGTGTTTAATCCGTCCCATATTTAAAAAAACCTGTCAAAACTAACATCTAAACTAAGTTGTAAAAGTCAGCAGATGCGTGTGTCACTAAGGTTAAAGGTGAAACCCCAAGAAAGGCATGCTTAATGTTTAAAGGCTAGCAGAGGCAACCACATAACAAACAGAGCACAATTTAATCACATGCTGCTTAAATCTCGGGACTAATAACAGGAATATTCAGATCACCTTATCACCTTTCAGTCCTGCTTCTCCAGGATTTCCAGGAACCCCCTGGAACAAACACAGACAAACACATTAGAAATTAGCCAAGAAATTGAAGTTGTGGTTCTGCATTGCTGTTTTACACAGAACACTGATTTCTAAATGTTTTTTTTAACTGAAACAAATCCAGATTTAAATTCAAACCATTTTTTAAATTCTGTTATGTTATATCACATGTAAAAGGCAGCTCTAAGAAGACAAAGCCGTTGTGTGAGAATACCTTCAGTCCAGCAGGTCCGGAAAGGCCCATTTCTCCCACAGGTCCCATATCGCCCTGATGCCAGAAAGAAGATGAGATAGCCAATAAATGTTTAGTGATAACACATGTATAAAGTACAGATAAGCACATGACTCTTACGTTAATTTAACGCATGCAATGTGCACACATTAATTTGTTCATTAAAAGGCAAGAACAAATTCATTGCTTCCAGATTAAACCGTCCGCACAGCATGAACAAATACATAAGTAAAAACAATAGCTGGTGATATGTGAAAATTAAAAAAAGCAGATTGTTTTCCATCTTGGTTTTGGAATGAAAATAAAGGGGGTCTTGGATTGGTGTTCCAAATACTCATCTCTTTGAAAAGCGTGGTGCCGGTACATGTGACAAAACATGTTGCCGAAGCACATGCCACAAAGTTGTAACAGAAACCAGCTCAAATGCTCAAATGGGATAAAAGAAACCAAATCCAAGAGCTTGAAGTCATTATGTAGCAGAGTAACTGTTGCCTATCCCCTCCATCATCCTTCACTGATCCCATCAACCCTTTTAAAGCTTGGTGTGCTGTACTCTGTTATCTCTTATCAGTGCCTGCAAAACTGGTCCAATCAAGATTAAATTAAACGCAGGGATTTAAAGAAGATGGTCCGAGTTGCCTTTTGTCACTGATATTTCAAAGATACAAAAAGAGCCTTTTAAAAACTTTTTCTTGTGGGTTCTAATTGCGAAAGAAAGAGTGTCCGTCTAGACATTTTTTTCTCCTCCCTGTTTGTGCAGTGGCCAGCCTTCATTTAGAGCTGATGGCTTTGAGTCCGTAGAGGAGGGTGTCTGCATGTTTAAAGTATTTTAGTATTGCTGGTACAGTGTGGTGTCAGAGGAGGTGAAGCTCAGACCAGATCTATAATCAACCAATCCTCTGATTACAGAGCCACAGGAGGCCTAGAATAGACCAGGAGGAGCGACAACGATGGCTGAAGGCACGACAAGAAAACAGTAGTGAGACATTATAATCAGACACAATTATGTGGCTGTCGGCCTGAGGAGACACGTGGGGCAAGGCGATGGGTGGGCAAGTTCCTGTTCAAAATAGATAACGAGATGAGGGTTTGGATGTGTTGTGAATTTCTGTCTGATTAATTAAAGCGTAAATAACTTATCATGCAGGTGTTCCGTTATTAAAACTCTATCTTCAGTGGTTAAAAGCTGATTGTGTTTGATTTTTCACAAAGGTACCTGAGGGTGAAAATGAGGATGAAATTGGTGTTTTTGTTAAGTTTGATTTAAAGGCAGTTCTGCACTCATATTAATGTAATTTGTACCTGAAGGGAAAAACATGTTTATACTAACAGGAACACAAATATTTCACACAAAACTACAACTAGTAGTACTCACAATGAGTCCAGGAACTCCGTTTGGACCTGGGGCTCCCATGTCACCCTAGTTAGAGGGGAAAGGAAAGTGTGGGATGAAGAGAGCAGGAGAGGTTTTTAGGGTTATTTGGCTCTTTTTATAAAACAAACATGCACAGAAGAGTAGCTCAGTATTCACAGATGCTTATGAGAGGGGGCTGTGTTCCTGTAAGGGAGGTGAAGGTGGTGGGGATGTGAGCCTGTCATACTCAGGCATTTTTAAAAGAAATAAAATAAACAAATAAATAATAATAATAAAAAACACTCAGAGGGTGCATCTTAAAGTGACATGCATATTCTTCAAATACAAAAAGTCAAAGAAAACATCTTTATATTTAAGAAAGTTGGAATAATACACACGATTCAACCCATTTTGTCCCATAACTGGCATAATTTCTTTTGAACTTGGCTCAGTCAAAGTGAAACAGGAAAAGACATCAAAGGGGAACTCTTTAACATAGAAAACTCTCTGGTCTTTGTTTACTGAAACAATATTATTTGAACTCTGGCTCTTCTTCATCTCTCTGATAGAAACTCTAAATAATCTAAAGAAACATCAGATTCTTCTCTACATGGTTGTTGGCCATTTTAGCAAAGCTCTGTTCGCATGCAGACATTCATTCCCCTTTGACATCACTTCCTGTTACTTCACAGGCAAATATTTCAACAACTGCTCATCTCAGCGACATGAAATTTCTTTTGCAATATTTTATCAATGTCCTCTTTCTACAAATACATTCAAATGTATTACAAAAATTTGATGTCACAGGCACTTTAAAGCAGTGGTTCCCAAAGTTAGGGTTGGGACCCACAGTGGGGTCCTGAAACATGAGAGATGTTCAGAATAATTACATTTAAAAATAACAACTACTAACATTTTTTGCCTTTACAAAAGAGTGAGGTTAGTGTGTCTAAAATGGATAAAAGTAACATAATGAATATTGCATTTATTTGACCTGATAACAATGTTTATCACCCAAAAATATTGCTCAAAGCCAACAGGTTGGGGTTCGGATATGAAGTGAAACATTGCCTCATGAACAGGTACTATGAGCTTTATCATTTAAWTTTGTTTATTTTGTTGCATTAAAACATACATTTTGAATTTAATCTATTGTTTTTTAACAAATTAAAAATCCTTTGTTACTTAAGTAGAATTTTTTTTTTTTGTTATTGAGTAATTCTTTTTTAGATGACTTTTTACTTCTAATCCTTTCATTTTTAAGGATTAGAAAGTCATTACTCCTATTTCTTTTTCATTCCAGCTTGTTATTGTTAATTAAAAAATCCTATCCAGATAATTTGCACCTCTTGATTAGAGTGAATTTAACTGGCTGGGTGAGAAGTATAAATAGAAACCATTCTGACAGATGGAGATCATCTCAATAAATGTTGTTTTGGACATTCTAACTGCTCACTATTACTCAATACTTTTAATACTTAAGTATATTTTACATCAGAAATTCACTTTTGATATTTAAGTACAATAAATGTTAGATACTTTAAGACTTTTACTTTAATATTCTTAAAGAAGACTTTATGTCTTCATTTTATGGTAGAGACTTGTTCTTTCACTCAAGAATCGCTTTGAGGTACTTTATACAACTCTTGTACATGTTCTATGCTCAGCACATGTACATTTGTGTTGTAGTATGAATATTGCTCATTTGAGAAAACAAGAACAAAATAACTAACTATTTATTATTAACCTTTATTTAAGCCCATTGAAATCACAGATTTCTTTTTCAAGGGAGGCCTGGGCCTGAAGGCAGCCTAACGTTCATGTTTTTGTTTTGAGGGATGAAACTGGAGCACCTGGAGAAAACCCACACAAGCACGAGGAGAACATGCAAACGCCACACAGAAAGACCCCAGGTCCGAAAGGTGATCGAACCAGGACTTTTTTGCTGTGAGGCATCGGTGCTAATCCCTCCTGCCATCATGCTGCTGAAATTTATTTTAGTTTAATTTTTAGCAAATGTTCTTTCATACCTGCGTGACAAATTTTAGAAAGGTTGTTTTATAAGCCTGAAAAACTAAAAAAAGGGCCCTCGTTTGGCTTTTTCCACACTCAGTGTTCTATGACTGATGTGATGTCTGATAAAATGGTGAATATTCATAATTATTTGACAAAACATCACTTCAAAAATGACCAAACTATTTATTTAATTACTAGGAAAGCTTATGTTGTTCTTTAGGCCCACTTCTTTTTAATACAGCAAAAAAATATTTTTGAAGTTTTTGTACAATTATTCCCAGTTTTAGTATAGTAAAATAATATCTAACAATTTAATAAAAATATTTGTGCTCAGATCTTCTAGTAAATAGTTGGTGATGCTTTGATCTTAAACCAATATGTAAAAAAATGAGAACTAGCCTCCCCATCAGACTGAATGAATGAGCTGCCAGCAGTGGTTTGACTCTCTGCCTGCCTTCACAGCGCATCAATGCCCTGCTCTCTTCACAAATGTTCCACTCAATTTCATTAAAGCCTCATAAACCCCACATCCACCAAACACATTTAGTTTAGATAAATAAGTACTTCTCTCTTTTTAAAAAATAGTTTTGTAAATCCTCAAAAAATATTTCCAAACATAACAGTCTAATTTTTTCCAATCCCCACCAAACTTTCTGCCTTCTTCTCTTGCATTTTCAAAATCTGTTCATCATGCTGAAACAACAAAAGGTTTAGCTGAAAGATTAGCCTTATTTTCAAGGAAAATAAAAGCCTTCGTGCTAAGAAAGGGATTTATTAAAAGTTTAGCTGTCTGATCCACAACAGTGAGCCATCAAACCCACCAGGGATGTGTGTCTGAAGCACTTTATGCATATTATGGATTTAATGAAGCGTCAAACTACATCATGCTGACGTGTTTGTGTTTTCCACTCTGATACGGTCCAGCCATTATCAGAACGACAGTAAACCCCCAGGAAAAATGAAAATGCTCAGATAAAATAATTTGATCTGTCCCATATGGACAGAAACATGCAACAGACTGTATTTGCTGACACATTATTCCAGAATTCAATGCAATTACTCAAAAATGACATCTTATTACATCATTTAATATTGTTGGATATCAAGTTCTGTAAGTGCTCTATGTGTGGTAGTGGCTAATTTTACAGTAGTGCATGGAAAAGGTTGAAAACACAGAACTGTTCTCTACTTAGTCTTGTGGGTTTTCTTTCTTTCTTTCTTTTTTTTTTTTTTGCAAATGAGTGTGCCAAATCAAATTATTTACAACTGTCAAATGGCAAAGGATGAAATTGAATACGTTAGAAAAGTTTGTCCAGAGCTACTTCAAATAAAACAGAAAAAACAGGAGCCTCGTAATTTAACTTGCAGCACAGCTAAATCACCAGGGGTTTGTGTGGGAGTGAAGCCCTCACCCTCAGGTTTTATATGTATGTGTGTGTGAAGGTGGAAGGTGATGTTTTTAGGTGCATGAGTGACTGAGTGTGCAACATACTGGCTCTCCATCTGGTCCAGGTGGTCCTCTCTCCCCAAAGTCCCCTGGAAACCCCTAAAAACAAAGAGACAAACTTGAACTCCACTAAACAGAAAACTTTGGAACAGTTGTTTTTATGGCCACATGGGGGCGACAGAAAGGTGTCAATGCAGTCTGTTGAAAAATCATCAGAATTGCTTTTTTTTCAAGCCGATAAATAATTAACAACATTTATGGAGCAGCTCATAATTAACGACACACTTAAATTCCATTTTAGTTAGACTTTTGATTCTTTCCAGGAAACGTCTAAGAGTTAGGCAGGCAAGTAATCAACAATTAGCAAAAGCTACAGTTGTGGTCAAAATGTAGCATTTCTTTTTAGTCTTTGACATGAATATATCTAAATTTTGAGCTTTTAATGATTTGTTCAAGCAATGATCTTTAATTATTTTTGATATCAAGAATTAGATGAATAAATCTGAGTTTATTACAGATTTCCACTATTTTTCACAGTCACCAAAATGCATACACTGCAAAAAATGTCCATCTAACCAAGTTTTACAATCTTATATTCAGTCAAAAAATATTTTTGATTATGTTTTGAGACTGATATACTAAGAAAAAAAGCAGAATGTGTTATTTTCCTTATTCTAATAAGCGCAACTGTCTAATTGCACTGGCAGATTAATTCACTTTATTTGAGAAGATTTAGAGCGGAATCTAATATTTTTAACTTGTATTTAGATGGCTGTTTTTTGCAGTGTACACGCTCAAATATATACACTCACCTAAATTCTTTAAAAAAATTAAGCTGAAGGTCCTAGAAAGAATTTTAACTTGATAAGGCCATGCCTAATTAACTTCTTGCTAGTGATCCTAATTGACTGCAGCTGATAGTTTCTCTTTGCCAGCATAAAAAGGATTTGTTTGGCAGCACGCCTTTGAAATAGCTAGCTCACATTTGTCACCCTCAGATGAAAGGAAACTTGTTAGGATACTCAGCAACAACCCAGGAACCACCAAGACTCAAGTCTGCCATGAACTGGAAGCTGCAGAAACACTAGTGCCACTGTCTGCAGTGAAAATGAGTTTCACCCCACCGTGGACAGAGAGGGACTAAAACAGAAGCCCCTGTTCCAAAAGTGACATCTTTAAAACGTGACTGAAATTTGCAGCTGCTCACACGGACAAGCCAAATGCCAAAGTTTTACGGTCAGACGAGGCAACGGTTGAGCTATTTGACAAAGTCAAAGGTGAGGCTTTCAACCCTAGGAACACTGTACCAACTGTCAAGTACGGTGGTGGGAATACCATGGAGAGGTGCTGGTGTATTGCGCAAAGTGGATGAAATAAAAAAAAGCAGGTCTATCTTCAAATTCTTCAATTTTATCTCAAATCAATAGCCAGGTTGTTGAAACTTTGTCTAAATTAGGGGTTCTAACAGGACATTGGGCCGCATGCAAGAACATGTTCGTATTTTTATACTAAATTTCTCTTACTTTTGTTCGTACAAAGGGTTCGTACGAACATGTCACGTCAGATTCAACAAACTCTTCTATCTTCAGGAAAAGTGTGTAAAGGAGGAGCGTAAACTGATGAATGCGTATCAGCTGCTCGTGCACGGGGAGAGGTGATTAGCATAATCTACCACCCCAAAAACACCATATAAGGTAACGTTTCCTGCCCCACATACCAGGAAGTGTTCATTCATAAGTGACATCGCAAAGTAAAAAATAAGAACATTATGAGTTTGGAGACTGAAGTCCTGCTCTTAGAGATCCAGGAAAAAAAAGTCATTTTTAGCAGCGTCAGACCTGCTAAAGACGAGGAATGAAATGACTGCTGTTAATGTCGTGTCTCCTGTGGGCCGTATACAGACACAGAAATAAAAATTTAAATCATATTATCTCTCTCTAGTCTTGCTCCGTTTTTTCTTTGGTCAAATATTTTTAATTTAAGTGTAAACAACTGTGTTACATAGTTTTCATTTATTCAGGAGCAGTCGTGCACTGCATGTAATTCCAGTTCAAACAGAATAATATTGTCAACATAATTATGGAGTGTGATTTATTTTCAACTCAAAATACCTTCAAACTAACGAAATATAAAGTTATTAATGWGAAAAATCAGTCTGGATAACAGCAGACTGACTGCTTGTAAAACATACGACAGGTCTGGACCACCTCGTGAATTTTGTTCGTATCTGAAGAAAATCTTAGGATACGAAAACATTGGTGAATGCCACAAATTCTCCTAAATCACTCGTACGCACAACTTAAGAACAAATCTGTGCGTACGAACAGTTCTTGCATGAGGCCCACTGATCCCAAACACACATCAGAACAGGCTTTGCCAGAACCTTAACCTGAGCCTGATTTACAGTTTGTGGACTAAAAGTGAGTCTGTTGCAGGAAAAAAACGTAGACTTTTACCAAATGTTATGGATGCATGTTTAATGCTCAATGTTCAGCGTGGACTAGAGAACATCCTCAAGAACTTTAACTTGTACACCATATTCTCATGAAAAGAAATGATTGAAGTTGTATGTTTTATCATTATGGCTCAAATCAATCGATAACTGCACCAAATATCATGACAATAATGCCCATGATGAATAAATGGCAGTTTTCTGACTGATAGTCGTTTTTCACAGCTTATAAGTCGAGTCTCTTTGTAAGTTCATCCCACAAACTTCAGCTGTTTGTTACAGCCTGAACACAACGTGACTAAAAAATATGATAAGAGAAACCAAATCTTTATGTTACAGACCAGGAAACTCGAGCAAAAGACTTAACCCTGCTGCTGTCCTTGAGTCAAAATGAAGCCTGAGCCCTCAGCTTTAGGACAGGCAGGTTAAGGAAGACATAAAGCTGCTTTGAGCTGAGAAAAACTGTAGCTGGAAAAACATTCTTAAACAGACTCAGTTCAACAAGTGATCTTTTGTTGAGCTGAGAATAAAAATAGCTTCCAGTTTTCATCTACAGCAGACATGGCTGAAATGCAGTAGGACATTTACTGATTGGCTAAATACAGTATTTGGAAAAAAAAGGAAGTATTTGAACCTTTAATACCAGCAATTCAAGTAAATCATTACCTTTATAACCTTGTATAAAGCCAATAGTGCAGCTATTGTAAATGCCTACTACCTCAATCTTGCCAAGTAAAATGCAATGTTAAATATAGATTGACTGAAAAATATGTACAAAATAGAGCTTAATGGCTCTATTACAAGTATTACATTTATCAGCTGGAGGGTGTGGGCAGCTGACCCAGGGTATACTCTCTAAAGAGAGACTGAGAGCCAAGTAATTATTCTGTCCATTTAGCAGTAAACGGGGAGCTAATCTAAGCTAATCTAACTGTTTGTGGTGCGGCCGAGAAAAACCACATCAGCAAAAAAGCCACACAGCGAAGAAGCCTTTAAACCAGAACCATTCAGAAGCACTTATATAATAACTAGGCTCTGCTATACCAGCCTCAATGCATTGTTTCAACATACTGATTACTGCAAACTCAGAACTCCTCAGTTATTTCTGAAAGAGCAGAGATGATTTAGATTGCAGCGTTTATGGTTTATTTTAAACACTGCCTCGTCTCAGAAGTACAACCTGCTGACTAAAAGTAACACTGTTTTTGGCTTTTGAACAATTTTGACCTTATATGAAGTTAAAAAAAAGTCTCAGAACTACACAGTGGTGTATAATTATTCATGTTTTTTTTTCTGCTTCCACTAGGCTTTTGGGTCTAGTGTTAAAGCAGGGTGAATGTTTGAATAACCCAGGTTTATGGTGCTTAAGGGGGATGCGAGAGCCGCAGAAAAGTCTTATGGTGACCCAAAGGTAGAACCACACAGCTGCCACTGCGGCCATAAAAACTGAGGACAAATGTAGAAAAAACGCTTTTGCTAAGCGTTTTAAAGAGGATCACATGAGTCTTAAGTGGATGCCAAGGCTCATGGCTGATGTGAAAAAACTACAATGGATGAGTCTCATAAATACAGTCTCCAAAAGACAAACGAAACCAGACATGCAGAAAGAAAGAAAGAAAAAAAAAAGGAAAGCTGAAACAGAGAACTATTGGCAACGCGCTTCGGAAACTTTTCATGCTCGCCACTCTTTTCAACATATCTTTTCCCTCATTGCTTTTTGGTCTGACTGTGTGTCTGTGTGCACTTCTTTGAGAGAGTACAGTGGTTACGACCATTAAAATGTCTGGCTCAGGTTCACGCTGTTCTGCTGTTGTTTCTCCTCCATCAAACAGCGCAGACCATCTTTCAAGGATCGTTCTGTTTAACGTCCTTGCTCTCCGTTTTCCACACAGAAGCGACGGGATGCAGATTCTAAAACCATCTTTATTACATAACCGTCTATTGAGTCCATCTCAGAAGCGCATTTAAACATAAACATATATATATCATGTTTAGTACTGGGATGCAACCATCACTTGAAAGGCAGAACTGCTGTTGTCATCCATCATGCACAATTTGCTGCAGGCGGGGAAAGATTAAATGAGACTTCTGCCTAAATATTTTTGATTTATAAGACCTGCGGAACAACTAGAAAATGTTTGCACAACAGGAAACCTGTCAGCCCATGAAGTACAAAGCAAAATATCCTACACATGTGAGAAGAACTCGAATGCAGCGCCAACGTAAAAATGCAAACAGCGCCACACAAACGGTTATAACGCGTCCACACCAGCCTCCTAAAGTTTAACGTACTTGCAGCATAACTGTCACTTCTAAAAGTTTCACACTCAGCAAACTCTTGTGTTTTTGGGAGTGCAAAAAGTTTTGGCCCACAGATGCCGAATTTACTGAAAAGTCAATAAGCAACAGCTGCAAAATGATCTCAGCAGTGTTTCAGGGTTACACACTTGTTTCAGGACTTTGAGCACTATCTGACGCACGCACACGCACACGCACACACACACACACACGCACGCACGCACGCACGCACGCACGCACGCACACACACACACACACCAGAATCACTGGTCTTCCCCACCCTCACATGCAACTGGTGTAAATCCACAGTATTCCAGCTGCATTTAACCTGTTTTAATAGTTGTGGAAATAGTGAGCTCATTTGCACAAGGTTGCAAATGCAGAACTTGTGCATTTCACAAACGTATCGGAAAATTTGCACTGAAAGCTCTCAGTAAAACTTCAGCAAAAGGTGAAATTGCAGCTGCAACATGTTTGATTTTTGGAGAGGAGCACGTCAAAGTTCTAAGACTTCTAGAAGTATTAGAATTTTTGAATAAAATTAGATACATTTTGGACTATACATTCATGCATCTATATTTGTCCTTTGTGTGGTGGTTTGGGGAAACACATAAAAACAAACCTATAATAAATCTGCACTTTACAACAAAAAGGGTAAGAAGAACATTTAATCCTGCAATTTATCTTGACCATACCTGTTTGTACATACGGAACATATGGGAGATTCAGAGAAACTGAGCTGATTATTCTCTAAAAAACACGTCCCAGTGGCTTTCAAACCCCAAAAAACATTATGGCAAAGACTGGTTCACCCTAAAGATCCAGTCCCCCAACATCAACAGAGTAATGTTGTGTATGCTGTTAAGAGCCAGGAGGACTGTGATCAGTTATACATCGGGGAAACAAAACAGCCACCGTTCAAATGGATGGGCCAACACAGAAGAGTTACATCATCAGGTCAGGACTCTGCAGTTTACACTCATCTACAGGCCAGCGGTCACTCTTTCAGGGATGAAGGCGTTCTCATCTTTGAAAGAGACGAGTGTTGGTCTCTGTGTACAGTTGCAGCCCTCTTACAATGCTGTTACTGCAAGTATGACTCACCTCCATGTGAACAACAGGTGCTAATCAGGGCCCTAACGATAGTCAGGTGATGTTGCACATGATCCTCTGTGAACAATCGGGATAATCAGGGCAATAACATTCTATCGTTAGGCTGAGGGTCCTCTTTTGCATGTGAACAAACAGCATTGATTGTCATTGTTAAACCTGTTTGTCCACCATGTGGAGACGGCGCTTATAAGGCTGAGTTCACCTGAAACTCCTCAGACTGAAGAAGTCTCTCAGAGGAGAGACGAAACATTTCAATAAAGAAGAACCCGTCCAAAGGACCTACTTCTTTTTTCTACCTGGATTACTGAAATGCATCAGGACAAGCACATTTTCAGTTTATCTGGCAACCTTGATGCTGGTCTCTCTTATGCACTGATCATGCAATGTTCACAGTTACAACTAAACTATAGAATAAACTAATGTTCCTTTAGACCTATAGTGGTTGATTTTGCTCCTACATGCTGCAAAGGGTGAAAACTTGTTTCAAAAAGAGACTCTAATCCCTGGTGACGTGTAAATGAACGGCTGAGTTAAATGGTAAATGGACTGAACTTACAGAGCGCTTTATCAAGTCTTCCGGACCCCAAAGCGCTTCACACTACAGACATTCACCCATTCACACCCACATTCACACACTGATGATGGCAAACTATATTGTAGCCACAGCTGCCCTGGGGCACACTGACAGAGGTGGGTGGAAGTTGCAACAAAAATGTTACGGTTTCATTGAAAACCAGCTCAGTGTAAGCAGCCCTTTAGAGCAAGTGTCATATAAATTTGACTTCAGTGGATTTAATCAAACATTTTTTAAGAAAACATCATGCACAACCAGTTGATCACATTTCAGAATGTTTATCTGTAAAGTATGTTGAGACAAAACTTTACCGGCCTACCCATCTTGCCCCTCTTCCCTGGTTCACCAGGAATACCCTGAAAATTCAGACAGGAAAGAAAAAGGGAGTGGGAAAGACAGGAGTAGACAGAAAACAAAAAGGCAGATGTTAAAGATTACAAACTAAATGATTATTGGACAAAAACTAATTAAGCTCAAAACACAAACAAAACATTGTAGCTATACATTACTCTCATCTCCTGTTTCAAAACATGCACGAAGCAGCAAACTTGAGCCTACGTAGCATTTTTGAAACAGTTTTTCTTGAAGGTGTAAGCAGGCAGACACTTTAGGTTTTATGAGCCATTTTGCACGATAATGATGGAGAGGTCCTGATTACAGCCCCCCCACTCTGACACAAGCCCCCGGAGCATGCTAAAGGAAGTCTAATCGCTCCTTGTTCTACAGAGAGACGAGGCGTGGAGTTCACACAGTTCAAAGGCTGTGAGAGGAGGCTTTTGTCATATGAGTCATAAACACTCCCACACAGTTTAACACAGCAACATCCCAAACAGCTGGGAACCTCTTCTGGTGCCGTACCAAACGACTGAATGAAATCGATGCGAGAGGGTTTGTTGCCACCCTTATTAGGACATGCACTAAGTGGTCAGGGTTTGTTTTTAGAGTTAATGATGATGCATTTGATCGGAACTCACTCTTTCGCCATCAGGCCCTGGTAGCCCGAAAAGGCCTGGGATTCCAATGAAACCCTGCAGCAAACAAACAAACAAACAAACAAAAAAAAAGAAGTACATCTTTGTAAGTATTAAAACAGAACTTAAGAAAAGAGCAGCTCCCATCGGCTCTAAAGTTGCATTTCAGGGGGGCGCCGACGGTCCAGGGTGGGCTTCCATGAAGAACCAAGCCATGAGGCAAGTGTATATGCCCATGGACTGCATGGTGCTGGCTTCCACGATGTAGTCCAAGGGCACATACCCTCACGCCAGGGATCTCTGAAGATAACCAGGGCGGCACACTCTGGGTTGTCGGTGCAGTGGGGAAGACACAAACACAAATAGAGGAAAACAGACAACAACACAGCTGAACGCTGGTCCAATTTAACGTCACATCAACACATTATGAAATATGCAGCAAAAGGTGACTCAGAGAGAGGCGGGGAAAGGGGACTAAAGTGCCTCTTTGGAACAGCAGGGCCTCATAGGGAGCTTAAACAGGAAATTCCAGCCTTCGGGGGCAGGGGAGACTTAGGAACAGCCAAGGAGAGCTGATAAAGAACCTCTATTGGAATTCAACATAGGAATCAGTTTGTAATTGTGACTGTGTGTGTTTGTATGTGGAGATTTATCAACTCACAGATTATAGGTAAGTGCCTAATGTCGTACAGTGTTTACACAAGTGAAGGTACTACAGTTTTAGAAAACTGTTAATAGTGTCACACACTGGACTAGTGTGGGAGAACGTGACTGAGTGTATAAAAGTGAATGCTGGTGCATTTAAGTCCGCTCATTCTTCCCTGCGTGCATGCATGTGGACGCTGTTTCGCTGAGTCATGCAAACATGTTTTCAGGCTGCTTCCTGGCGTAAAAGACGAGTAGTGTGTGGCCCGTAATTGGTCGACCCTCTGTGTGTTTTAACTGAGGTTTGCAGCCGCCTTCGACAAATATTGTGGACCAGGAAATGTCAGCGAGCCGTCAGGGGGACGGCCTCGCCGATAAGCGCATTTACTGATCCTGTCAAAGCGCCGTCGTTAATGATTTTATCAAACAAAAATCAAGCTCAAGGCGCATATTTGAAGAGATTAATTTAAATCGTCTTACCCGAACACCTTTAGGCCCCACTGGTCCTATAGGCCCTGGTAAACCCTGCGAAAACATTGAAAAAAATCTGCTTTATTTCAACAAATTCACACGTTAACTGGCGTATACCTGAATAAATGTACTTGTGACAAACCAAACTTTGTTTAAATTTAATTTAAATTTATTGTCTTTAAAAACGATAGTAAATGTCCTGCTTCTTAGAGTTTCACCGTGATTTCAGAGACAGCATCTTGTGATGTTGGAAGTCTTAGATAACATCTATATGTTATTTTTATACTAACAATCAAATCTATTCAGTAAAAAAAGCATGTCTCTCCAAGTCATCTGATACACACAGACTCTCTGCCCTCACTGTGGCCCTAACCATAACTGTACCAGTCACAGCAGAGGATTTACTGCACCTGCCTGCCAGGATAACCTTTGGCACCGGGGCTTCCGACTGGGCCTTGCTCTCCCTGGTGGAAACACAGAGAGAGGAGAGGAGAGGTGAGAAAGTACACTGGAAAGGTAAGATGAGTGCACAGAATTAAAACCAAAAGATACAGACAGAGGACCACCGTGCAAAACTCTCTCAAAGTGAACGAGAGAGAGCAGAAAGGGACGAGCAGAAAGTGACGCGCAAGGAAAACAAGTGTTTTCTATCAAAATGGATGTGAAAATAAAAGTTAAAAACTTACCTTTACAACAAAACTTTTTAGTTTTATTAAAAAAAATTCCATTCAGATCAAAGAACTAATTTGTAAATAGTGTGTCAGGTAAATGTAATTCCATGCAACCTTTCTTAATTAGTAACTAAACTTTAAATTTACAGCACCTTTCATAGACCCACACACCACAAAGAGAGAAAAATAACTAAAAGCAACAACAAAGAGCAAATATAATAAAGAACAATTAACTTAACTAAAAGCCTGTCTGGATAAAAATGTCTTCAGACATTTCTTAAAAGATTCAGTGGGGTCTGTGCAGCAAAGGGACAAGAGCCTCTGGGCCAGCGCCTGAAAAGCTCCACAGGTTTTGTAATGAGTGCAATGAGCCACCAGCAGAATTTGACTTGAAGATCTCAAAGTTGTTAATATTTTAGAAATGATGCAGCAATAAAGGTGGATCTAAGCTCACTGGAAATCTTCTGAAAATCAATCCACCTTTTAATGACCACTGATTATAATCAGTTCTATTGAAATTGAAATCCCAGAGTAACTATTGCATATATGAACTTAATAGTTATTTTTCTATTATGTCATTGGAAAAATTATCAGTATCATTTTTTTAGTTGAGATTTTTTACTTTATTGTTAAATTTGTTTCTTAATAAGGGGCAGATACAAGATTTTTTTCTTCTTTCTGCACCCTTTTCATTCAATAATTGATTTACTTTGCTTTCTTTTTTGTTTTCTTAATAGTTCTTTGTTGCTTTTTAGAATGAAATAAATTAATAAACTAAAAAGATGTTAGAATTATAAAAATAAAACATGGCAGTATTTTATTAAATGATCATAATTTGAATCAAAAATGACAGTTATATATTAGGATGCATAGATAGATCCAAATAAACATCATATTAAAGGCTTATGTTCTGGATGACAAATTCAAAGAAGGTTTTTGTAAGTATATATTTTTTTCTAACTCTATCACAGAAGTTTTAAACATTACAAACACAAATGACATTATGTTCACCAGTTACATTCATTTAGAAAATGACATGAGTAGAAGCTTATGTTTAAAATGATTTTATGTTAGTCCAAGAAAGATTCACAGACATCTTGATGACTTGTAGATGTGCTTAAAAATGCAATACTTAAGTGACCTTGGTGGAAACAGTTGTTTTTTTTCCTCTAAATGTTTGCATGTAGATGCAGATTAGGAGGTTATACTTGTTTATGCAACGTTTAGAAAGCATAACAAACACATACACACAAAGCAAGTTGTGTCCAGATTTCATTGAGCACAAGTGTCCACCTCTCTCTGACATATCATGCACACTGCCTGCTATTCTCTTGTCTTGGATAAATACACAGCACAATGCTGCTAGTTAGAACTGATGCTGCGTTCACACCGAACGCGATTTCAGCTTCAAAATCGCATCCAACGCTTCAAGTTGGATGCTTGTGCACTTTGAGGTCAGACGCAGGTCAGCTCTTGAAGCGCTCACACGGCAAGAGCCCCCCGCCCCTCCCTCCTCTGTCGGGCTCTGTTTAATGTCGGACGAGGAAGTGGCTTTGCTTTATTTACAGAGCAAGAGCATGTCACGTTCATCAGATAATTAATTCATAATTAATTCACCAGATAATTCAGAGACATTCTGAGTTTCATCACCCAGGAGCTGCGGGAGAGGCTCACAGCTCGCTTTCAGGACTACTTTTGTCCCGAGTCCAGTCTGATGAGCCGCTGCCACACATTGGTGCGGATATCTCCTGTCAGGACACCGACTGCAGGCACTCATTTCAGTTAAAGAGCTCCTCTCCATCTGTTTCAGGTTAGTGGACATCATTCAGTAAACTGTCCCGTCGGGAAATATGTCGCTACGTCACACAGTGGAGTCTCTCTGATTGGTTGATGATGGAAATATGTCGCTACGTCACACAGTGGAGTCTCTCTGATTGGTTGACGCAACGCGTCGAGCTGCAAAGGTTCAGATTTTCTAACTTCAGCGATTTGCGCATCAAGCACGTCGAACGCTCAGATCGTTCAAATCGCGCTGCTCTAATCGCGCTTGAGGCGCCGCAGCACTTCCCGACGCTGATTGAAGCGCGTCCACCATAGACTTTGCATGTAAACCTGCTGCTCCTGATGCTGAAATCGCGTTTGGTGTGAACGCACCATTAGACTTTCAACTGGCCAGCAGTGAGGAGAGGGGACATGGGGTGGGGCTTCTCAACACAACCAGTGGTATATTAACAATAACAAACAGTCCTCAGCACTACGTGCACACCAGCTGGCTCTTCCTCAAAAAAAAACCCAAAAAAAAAAAAACCTCATAAAGCCAAACAGTTGTGTCTGTTACTCAGACACTGGTGCTGTCGTGATTCAGAGCTCAGGCCAAAGCCATGATCAGAGGCAGCAACGAGGGCAGCTCTGTGGGAAACGGGGGGGCGATGAAGGATCAGTGCACAGAGAGAGAGAAAGACAGAGAGAGAGAGAGAGAGAGAGAGAGAGAGAGAGAGAGAGAGNGAGAGAGGGAGAGAGAGAGAGAGAGACTCCACGATGAGCAGTGGTGCAGGAACTCCTTAAATTGATGACATCATCCTGACAATGGGAGCTTACCTAAATAGGGGCTGTTCTGGAACTTATGCTGCTCTTGTTGCACTTAAAGAGGAATGAATGTACCGCAAGAATAGCAAAGTGAAACACTGAAGAGCTTGTTCCATCCTGATGACTGAGGTTGTGCCTGAATTAGCCCAATTTAAAGTAGCTCTGGACAAAAAGGATGGATGCTCAACCCTTAAAATAACGAAGGGCCGTTTGAAGCAGCTAGAGCCGCATCTACTCCAACTTAGCAAGGCATAAAAGAGTCCACTGAACAGATTTTCTTCATTTAACAACGATGCATTGTATGGAGGTTTTGAGAAGAAAAATGAGCACATGCTTGAAAATAACATCATTTCACAATCTTCTAAAAGACATTGTGTACATGAGAGGCTGGAACAACTAGAACGGAGGAGGGAAAAAAAAGTTTTCTCCAGAGCTGCTGTGTAATAAAAATGAGTGTGTCACTGTTGGCCTAGTTGGCTTGTTGCTGGTTTTTTCTTCACTCTGATTTCGTTCTTTCTTTGGCATCATTTTGTAATATCCTGAGGAGCATCACTGCAGCACAGTGCTACGGCCAGATGTCTGTCCTCAATGGTGCTTCATAACACTCTAATCTAATCTGGCTGCCCTCGAGGCCAACTTGGCACGCACGCACACACGCACGCACGCACGCACGCACGCACGCACGCACACACAGGTTAAACAACCTGAGGCGATGACTGAGGGTTTGGGGAACGAGGTGAGACTGAGGGATTAGACACTGGACGACATAAATTCAATTGTCTCTGAGACTTTAGCAGATGAATCATATAGAAATCATTTGAAAAAAGAGACACTGTGAAACATAAAGTACTTCATCTTGGCATGAGTTGTGAAATGTAAAAAATGTGGCGTTTTTGTGAGTGTGAGGTTAATGGAACATGAAAAATGGAGTTCATACATGAGGACATAGTTTACAGAGCTTGTACAAACTGCAGAAAGATACTTACAGGCTCGCCAGGAAGTCCGGGTGGGCCAGGGTGACCTTTCTGTCCCTGCAGAAACACAAACATATGATATTAAAAGTAGGCGAACAATAGAACAATCACAGATAAGTCGAAGCAGAGAGTACATTTACAAATATGCATGTTAAAGCTAACATCAGAAGACAAATGCATTGCCATGTGCAAAGAATCAATCTGCCCCTCTGTCAAAGGATCAGAGTTTCCACTGGCTGTGTTCACAGAGTTATGATGCCAGGTTCATGGCATGTTGAGGATATAAATGCCTTCCTGTTTGAGTCAGATAGCAGGACTCTCAGACTGTGTGTGGGGCAGCTGCGATAGCAAGGACAACTTCATCGGACTTTGCTTGGGTTCTGCTGACTTCAGCAACATAAACCCCAGTCGGAGTGTAGAAAAGCTAAATAAAAGATGGAAGGACATGTGATCCCAGACCACAGCTTGATAGAGTGAAAGAGAAAGACAAAAAAAAGAGAGGGAAAAAAAGAAGACGCAAAGTAAAAACAGACTCCTGTTGTTCCGTTTTCCTAGACCACAGCTCCAGGAGACTAAGCCAAGATTCCCAGAGTTCTTGTAAACCAAACGGATTTCAGTAGAAGAGGATGCAACAGTCAGCTTCAGCATGTTACCTGGTCCCTTTCACTGGTTATATTCATACACTATAAACCTACACTCATTAAACTGACATGTCTGCTTTTGTCATTGGGTCAACAATGCAGATTTTGTTTCTTTTTGTGATAGAAAAAAATAGTATGTTTCTCTGGAGAACAAATCAAGGATCTCAAATCATCTAATCCACATCAAAAGGTCCTTGGAGCTGGACAAAAAACAAACAAAGCATGTCAGCAAACGCTGAAACCCTCACTACGACACAGCAACAATAAACAGGAAGTTGTGTGTGTGACACATAGGATACGGAGGAATCAAACATCAGAGAGTAAGGATAGAAAAAAGCCTTTGCTTGAGTTTGTGCGTTGGAAATGTTCAAGTGTTTGTCTTTCGCTCTGTAAAATCTCATAAGTTAGTTCCACCGATGGCCTAGAATCATCTTGGTTCGTTACAATAAAACATAAAAATGTTGAACAGAGCAAAGGCAAATTATTGTGATACAAATATATATGTCTGCATAAATTTAGGACTACCTAATATCACATAAACTGTTTAAAATGTATATGTTAGATTTGTTTTTAGATTTTGTCTTACATCTTATATTTTCATTTCTGTTTCCCTCCTGCAGCTTTCCAGGACAAAGTGACAAATTCCTTTCTCTAGCTTGCAAACATGTGAACACATATGTTCCCACATTCACACGCAGAGTTTCCCATACCTCATTATTCCCCTCCTAATTACACGGCTTACTTATAGTACAAACATGTGTAGGGACTTATGTTCCCAAGCTGACATCAACTAGCCATGCACATGCATGGTTCCTGAGGATTAACTGTAGCTTCTTATCTTCTGTTGGTGCGTCGTCCGTCCTTATCTCAATCGTTACCAGTTTCCTAATGAGAGCAGCCATTGCTACCAGTCTGCTTGTGGTTGTGTGCCACTTGTTTAATGAGCATCTGCGTGCAATCAGACAAACCCACCAGAATGTTTTTCATTTACAACAACTCACCAGTAGCACCCCATAAGCTCTGCCCCTCCTGCCCACCATGCTGCGGGAGCGCCCCGAGCGGAGCTAAGCACACCGTGGCAGCGACACAAATTGAAGACACATTGCGTCTGCAAGTGACATGACACTTCTCGCAGTTGTTACCAGCAATTCTGTCCACACTTAACTTTGGGAGGGTGACATGCTAAGCACAGGAAAAGTGTTCTGTTGAACAGCTAAAGTGTCTTCCACTGTCTGCCTCTACTGGATAACAAGCTGGTAGCCATTAAAAAAAATAAAGGAATATACCTCGTTAATTTTTTTCATCTTTCCACCCGTGACTCCCCAAAATTATTCTTCCAACATGGAGCCAGAAGATTGCGCAGTAATCATCTGGCTCCGTGCATGTGCTGCATGTACGGTAGAGCGTAAACATAGACGTCTGCCAGGACCAGACAAACAATGGCCTAAATGGACTGCTGTGGTTAACTCTGCATCATGGAAACAATGGCAAGAGCAGAAGTCTCAGCTTGATTAATAGCTTGAAAAAAATCGTTTTGTACATAAAAGTGATGATTACTCTATATTATTGCTTTTATTTAATATCTTCATTGCTTTTATTTTAAGTTGATCTGGAACAGTGGTTCCCAAAGTTGGGGTCAGGACCCCTCTGTAGGTCATGAAACATGAAGTGAGGGGTCCCCTGATGATTTCCAGACATCAGCTTGCAGATAAATTGTTACCAGAATATTTTCACCATAATTATTGAAAATAATTAAATTAATAAAACTATACTGATAAGTAGTATCACAGTTGTTTGCTTATATTGCTAGTATGCCCATAGTTAACAGAGTTATCAGCAAAAGTTGCACACTAATATCTGGGGTCACATGTTTCTGCAACTGTTCCAGAAGAGCTGAGGTTTTCCCAGTAAAATGATTCATACACTACATTTACACACACAGATGCCGTTCTGTGAACTGCATGAGTCCATAACTCTTGAATAAAACCTCTTCTAATTACATCTGCTACATGTACCGATGACTGCATTCATTAATAGAAAGCAGATGCAATAATTCAAGGCAATAACTTGTGGCTAAAAATTAACATTTGATTTACTGACAACAATTATTATTATTATTTTTTTTAAATTTTTTATTCATTTCATTAAAACATACAACAAATAATATACACTCAACAAAAAAAATACAAATCACAAATAAAATGAAAGGTAGCAGAAAGAAGAAAAAAATCTTATTAATATCTGCCCCTTTTTTCAAACAGTAAATAAATTAAAACAATAGTCTTCCAACAGCATAACAAAAAACTTCAACTCACTCCTGAGCGACAATTCTCATGAATGCTCATTACAGGAATTCATATTTCTTCAACAAACTAGCTTTTATCATTTTCTTAAACGAAATTTAAGAAACAATTAGAATGCAACAATTAGAATTATTCCTCAGTAATGGAAATCAGCATTTTTAAGAAAAGCTACCAAATAATCCTTTAGAAGTGGGGGAAAAAAAGGACAAAGAAGGGGGAAAACCATACAGACAGAAGGATGAAGCACTAAAGGCTGCAGTGTGGTTTGTAATGTGGCCTTGTAGCTGAGGTTTAGCTCGGTGTACGTCCCCTCTCCCTGACCCTGCCCGCCATACTGAAAAGGCATTCAGGGTCTGCTTAGTAGAACAAATGTTGTAAAGAGCAGAACATGCTTGGCTTTGACCGGTGGTGTAAAATCACACTCATCTCTAATGCTTTTAAAGCACCGCTGCTTTCTCCATTAAACGATTTCCATGAAAAACCTGGAGCCAAATTCCAGAATTCCCGCTTGAAACATCAAGCTGCAGGATGATTTAGAGCCGGCACTGTGTGTATTTGGGCGAGTGTGTGTTTGAAGAAGGTGGAAGGGACAAAAACTACAGATGAGAACGCAGAAAAAGATGCTGTTGTCTTGTTTTCCTAAACCACAGAAATCAAAGCAAGTCAGGGAAGGTTTAACAGCCAGAGAGGAATAAAATGGAAGAAGCAGCGTGTGAGCGTTTCAGGGTGGCCTAATTATAAAAGTCCTTATTTCTTCTCATTTGTGCACTGCATGTCCTAATAGAGAAATCTGCACTGGGACTTTCCACCTGAGCTGACAGGAAGGAACAGAGTAAAGCCTGTTTGACAGACTGACTCACATCTGTCACTGGGCTGCTTTTAAGATGACGAGTCGTCCGAAGCATCAGAGGAAAGCACAACAGAGAACTACAGAGCGTCACTGTGGATTGTTCTGAGCTGTGGAAGCTTCTTTATGTTTGTGTGGAAATAAATGGCATTACATTCTTGCTGAAAACTGAACAAGTTTCCTTTCCAGTCAACATGTCTGTGTGATGACAGCCAGTGTATGTGGTGATGAAGTTACTTAGGTAAAACTCTCCAGCTTTCTCTTTAGCTACTGTTCTGCTACGTTTAGCTTTTAGCTAGCCTTGTGGTTCATTCAGGATTTGGCTAACATTTTGCCTCCTTTGGCTTTACGATAACAATTTACCATTACATTTACCTTTTTTAATTTATCTTTTACATCTTTTTGAAGAAAAACTGTCCACCATTAAACAGAGGTGGAGGCCTTCGTGTCCAGTTGTCCTCCTCCTACAATGCTGTTATTGCAAGTATGACTCAGCCCCCTGTGAGCAAAAGGTGTGAATCAGGGCCCCAATGATACCAACACAAAGAGGGAAAGAGGGACAAAAACAAGGGGACGTCGAGCCCCGCTTGCACTCACTACATACAGTGGTTTGCAAAAGTATTCATACCCCTTGAACTTTTCCATATTTTGTCACATTACAACCACAAAC